GCCAGCTCTCTGCTGTGGCCAGGGAGGGCAGTGGAGGATGGCCCAAGTGCTTGGGCCCTGCACCCCATGGGAGACCAGGGTAAGTACCTGGCTCCTGCCATCGGATCAGTGCAGTGCGCTGGCCGCAGCGTGCCAGCTGCGGCGGCCATTGGAGGGTGAACCAACGGCAAAGGAAGACCTTTCTCTCTGTCTCTCTCTCTCTCACTGTCCACTCTGCCTGTCAAAAAAAAAAAAAAAAAAAAAGAAAGAAAGAAAGAAAGAAAAGAAAAGAAATAATTGTCCAGTCTGTTTTATATCCTCCCAGCATGATACCAAGATATCCTCCTCAATAATCTTAATTTGCTTCAAATGCTCTGTTATTAATGATATTATTATTATTTCCCCTTAAGAGTTTAGGGAGATTCCTGTAACTGATTAACTGCCTTCCTTTCCCCCCAGCTTGTGATTTCTTAAAGATTAGTGTGCCCCGGTGGCCACTTTGTTTTCCACACAGAATTTCTGTGCTATTGGAACAAATGTGCTTTGTAAACATGCTTCAAAATGTTGCTGTAGAATCTCCCCTTGTCGTTCAACAAGTCTGTGTTCCTATCCAAAATGTTATATTCCTTTTAATTAGGAAGCTTAAATAATTACATTTGATAACCAATAAGCCTTATAACCCATAATTAAATTTAATAGTTTTAAAATTGTATCTTACTAGATTAAAAAATTGTCATATTTGGATAAGAATCATCCAATATCAGTTATTTTATGCTTGTAGTTTTCTTCATGTAATCATGTAGTCTTGGTTATGTCCTCCCAGTACAACACCAAATAATGTCCTTTGAGTTATTGTTTGCTATAAAATTTTATTCATTTTATACTTTGATTTAATTTTACCATGTGAAAAGCAGAATAACAGTCACAGGCTTGGATTTATGAATCAAATACATAAGGTTTCAAAGTATAGCAAGTCACTTATTAGCTAGATCTCAATTTTTTCTTTTTAAAATTAGGGATATTAACAGTATACACTGTCTTAAATACCTGTAAATGTTAAAGGAATTAATGCACCCATAGTGTTAGTATAGAACAAGTACTCAAAAGATGTAAGTGGAAGCTATTACTATTAACATCGGATTTAATTAATATCTTTATTATCTTTCCCTTTTTCTCTTGACTAGTGCCATTCATTTATATGAATTGCTCTTGAATTCCTAGCCTATTGTTTCATATTTTATGTCATTTGACAGTATGAACATAATGAGTTTTAAGGAGTAAAGAATTATCTCCCTTTTGCAAACAAGAAAATCAAAATATGTGATTTACTTTTTGAAAATCGCACAGCTAGTAAAAGGCTCAGCCAAGACAGACACTCACTGATCTTTTCACAATGCTAGCTTTTAGAAGGTCATTTTGTTGAAATGAAAGATATCTAGAACTAACTGATGTTGAATATCAATTGCTTATTGCTTCTGTATTGTTCTGCGTGCTCAATGACTTAATGCGGGATGCCCAGCATAAGAAAAGTGGGCGGGGGATAATTGTACCTCCATGATAGGCTTCACAAACTCCATAAAGATGGGAAGACCCAATTCTCAGAAAATTGAACTTAGTAAATACTTCCTGAAATTAATGGTCTCCCACTTCCTTGTGAGACGCGTAGTCCCCAGACAGCTGAGACGCACCAATAAAATGCTCAAATTTAGGTAATTGCCATATAAAGAATAAGGAACTAGCATACATGTGCAATGACGGATGTACTTGTTTACTCAAGCGTACAAAAACACTGAGAAGGAGAGAGGCGGGACTTCTCACCGCTACACTGCACTATGTTGTATGTGTTGGTGGGAGCCCCGGCTAGCTGGCAATAAAATAGTACATCCTCTTGCCCGTGCATCTGTGACTGTCTTTTGTGGGTTAATTGGGAAAAGTCTCAGACCCATAACTCAACAGTTTTAAATGGATATTTCTGGGCAGACAGCATTCCAACATTGGTGGCATTGGGTTAATATTATCATTCAGAAGGTTGTCTTTTTCTCACATTTTACAAATGTACATAATTTTATTAACTTAGCAATTAATATGTGCCCCATACTAAATGGCATATGTGTCTCCTATGTACATAAAAATTCCATGAAGTCGGTTCTTTAATTATCCTCCCATTACAGATAGGAAAACTGGTGCAGTGGTTAAGTCACCGCCTGGGATGCAAGCACCTCGTATTGGAGACCCTGTTCTGTCCCAGCTCCACTTCAGATCCAGCTTCCTGCTAATCTGCATGTTGGAAGACAGCAGGTGATAGTTGAATTATTTAGGCCCCTGCCACTCACATGAGAGATCTTGATGGAAATCCAGATTCCTGGCTTTGGCCTGCTGCTGCCATAACAGTTGGGAGGACTTGGAGAGTGAACCAGAGGATAGAAGATCTCTCTGTCTACATATTTCTCTCTCTCTCTCTCTCTCTCTTCTCCCTTTTATTCTTTCCTTTGGTTTCTCTGCCTTCAAATTTAAGAAAGACATTTTTAGAAATAAAACAAAGCTGGTACGTGGTCAGGATTTGACAGGAAGCAGTTCACCTCCAGAGCCTGTGGTCTTAACCACAAATTAAACTGAAAACATCCCTTCCTTTCAACTTTCCTTGACCCTGAGTAGTGAGTTTCAACATGTCATGTTGTTTCCAGAAACAGAAACAAAAATTTAATGTGCTGAATAGAAATAATTTCCTAGGAGATTTTCATTCTCACTCATAACTGGCAACATAATTTGGAGAGCCCAGTGCAAAAAAATAAATGAATAAATAAATTAAAAAAATACCAGGCCACTTGTTTAAAAAAAAGTGAATCATGATGAATTTCACTTAAGAATGTGAGAGTAGAGCATTAAATCCACTGCGTGACCCTTTGGAATTGAGACTCTGTGAGACTATTTGGGGAGTAAGTTCATGACCTGACCAGCCATGAGTATGGCCCTGTCCCCGTGCAATTATCCTTCTGTGGATCTGCATTAAGAATTATGGTATGAAAAGAATAAAAGTACTGGGTATCTTTTATTAAACCTGTCTCTGAATCTGACTTTCAACTGAGAGTATCCTGAGGCATTGAGACCCTCAGTGAAGTAGAACCTGGGAGGGAAGCAAGCTACCAGACCCCAAGCCAGAGTAGTTGTACTATGAAAAAGGAGAAGTCTAAAACAACGTTTGTCTTATCAGTGCAGAAGGAGATGAAAGTCAGGATGTGGGGAGAAGAAAGAGGAAGCTCTGGGGAAGTCCCATCACTCCACAAAGAGGAATTTGTCCATGTCTTCCATCAGAATGGGAGTAGAAACTGGTGAAATATTTCAAGTCCCTTTGTTGTTTAAAGAAAGTCCATGTTAACTTATGTCAAAATTAACATCCCTGGTTCTGGTTACTCAAATTCTCTTTGCCCTTTGAAATAATATTTTAATTTTTCTTCCCTCTGATAGTATAAAAGAACTACATTTCTGAAAAAGACCTGTTATTAATCCTTCCATCTTGCATCAAGGGTATGGTCAATCTTGCAGGTAGTCAAACATTAGAGAAGGTACTTTTAAAGAATCAAAGTATAAAACCTGCAGCCCCTTTTCTTCCTGATTCTGTGACATTGAAAAGTTAATTTTCTTTTCTAAACCTCTCTTAGCCTCAGATCTTAAATTTGTAAACTGAGAAAATGTTTAAAGTAATAACAACTTCCAAAGATGATTATGCACTTTCAATACATAAAAATGCTTAGTGCAAAACCTAGCAAATCATGAGAATTCAATGAATTTCAGAGATGTTACTTCATATAAATGTAAACATTTTATGTATAAATATGTATACATATAAATACACTTGTATTTTAGACATGTACATGCTTCATGTAATATATATATACATATATGTATTTGTGTATGCATAGCTATTTGGAAGTTTCTGAATTGTAGGTTGAAATTTGGAGAAGGGGAAACACTCAGCTAGCAGCATGACTGTAATGAAGCTTCATTCTGGATTTCCATCTGTCCCTGCTAATTCAACATTCAGCTTATATGGCATGCAAATGGAATTTCTACTGCCTATGGAGTCAGGGACTTCCTCAACATAATCCCTTTGCTTCAAATCAAACAGACTGAGTGGTTTACTTGAGTATAAATCTACTATGATCCTCAGAAAAAGCCAGGCGTGCTTCCTCTCTGAAACATGTTGCTGTGCTTCCAGGGCTATTCAGAGCTTCACTTGGGATGTGTAAATTTCCACCCTTAGAGGTTATCTCACTTACACAGCACCTCTCTCCCTAATCCCTAGCCACTGGTGTATTATTTATGTGTAATCCCAGAAAAGAAAATGGGAAAAACCTAAAGCTCTCCTACCCCTTTGCTAGTACACTCACAGAGCATAAATCCAGATCTCTCTCCAAAATTTTAGCTTTATGGTTCCAACAGCGGTTTAATTAGTGTATGCCTATACAGAAATCACAAAAAAATGTGTTTGAAAAAAATGATGAAGCCGGCACCGTGGCTCACTAGGTTTATCCTCCGCCCGCAGCGCTGGAACCCCGGGTTCTAGTCCCAGTTGGGGCGCCAGATTCTGTCCCGGTTGCTCATCTTCCAGTCCAGCTCTCTGCTGTGGCCCGGGGGGGCAGTGGAGGATGGCCCAAGTGCTTGGGTCCCTGCACCCAATGGGAGACCAGGAGGAAGCACCTGGCTCCTGGCTTCGGATCAGCACGGTGCGCCGGCCGTAGCGGCCATTTGGGGGATGAACCAACGGTAAAGGAAGACCTTTCTCACTGTCTCGCAACTGTATACCCAGCATAAACAGTGTTTATCCTTTCTTATATCTACATGTGCAAATAAATATGAAAATAAGGAATACTTCTCTGTTGTTTTGGAGGTAGATTAAATTACTTTGACATTATTCTTTTTAAACCTTTTTGTTAACAGCGTTTTCTACAAAACAAGTCTTTTATTTTCTCTCTCACTTTGCAGAAGTTCCCCTACATTCACATTGCTGACTTGGACCTTTACTGAGTAAATATTCCTGGACTTCTGAATTGTTCATCTTAGCTACATGATATGCAAATCAGACTGCACGAAACCATGTGCAGCAGCACAGCCCTGGGTCACATGCTGTATCCAGTTGCTGGCAGAGCTTCTGTCCAGGGAGCAGATCTGCAACAGAATGGTGAGTAAACTTTGCTGCATCTCATGTCTCTCACACACATAAAATAGCATCAGACTTCCTGTTGGGGCTTCTTTAACAAGTGGCCACAGAGCATTTAAAGTTTAAAGTTATTTAAAGCATTTAAAGTGATTAAAGCATTTAAAGTTTAAGTGAACTGTTCACAAGTAAATGTGAAACAGAACAAGAAGGTAAAAAGTTGTAGAATTTTTACCTGTTTTCTACCAAATTTAATATCTAGTATAATTAACAAATATTGTTTACTTAAAGGGATCTATTATATTTGCTAAGGTCTCAGTACCTTTGCTATTTCAACAAAAATGATAATTGAATTTACTTAAATAAATATAACCATTTACAGAAAAAAATAGAGTTCCTATCATGTGGAACAAACATATAGAAGATTTCCAGCTATAAAAAATAATGTACTATAGAGACTAAAACTTAAGGCTTTCTTTTAGCGTTTATGTGTGTGAAAGTGAAATGATCTAAAAATGTAATTTTCTAAATAAAAATGGAAAATTGCAGAAACCATTGCTCTTCTGCCTTCATGACCCTTCTTTAACTTATGAGATATTCTTAAAGAAATTAATAGCACAGTTTTATACCATGTTATAACTGTTAATATCTTTGTTTCTGGTGTAATTTATGGAATATGTAAAAATGAAGTTATCAATATTGTATCTTTTATTATATGAATATATATTTTGATTTATATGGCTTTGTATCCAAGAAATTACTTTTTAAAACTCTATATATTATATGTAAATTTGTCTTAAAGTAGCAGTTAAAAATGAAAATATCACAAGCTTTCTATTTGTTATGACTTTAAGAAAATGATTTTTAAAACTAAGGAATTATCAAACATATATGTATACTAAATTTAGGCTTCAAAAATGTACATTTTCAAAAGGTTGGATCTACTTAAAGTACAAGAAACAGTTTTCTCAAATTAAAAATGAGTACTACTGATCTGTCCATATGAGTAGATTAAATAAAATTCTAACAGTCTTAGATATATTTTTGGACTGTGAACTAATGATTTCACTTTAATTAGCAATATCTTTATTTCAGAAAAACAAAACATGTTAAAGTGATGCATTCAAATCTATGAGAATCTATTTATCACTACTTCCATTTCCTAAAAATTAAGACTGCACCCACAAGAAAGTGAAGCAAGAATATTAGTTTTTCATGAGAGAATTTCCCCTTTGTTTGGGAGCTTTGCTTCCTTCATCAGTTTTTAGAATTACTATGGCCAATCTAAAAACACACTGGACTACAAGTATCACTCAGTTTGGAATATGACTCTCAAATTGTGGGTCCTGCTGACAAACTGGCCTGAAAATAATGACTTCATAAAACTGTAATTTATTAACATTATGGATTTAGTAATAAATTTTAGGAATGAAACTAATATATCAAAGACACAGATCATAAAGTATCATAAAAAGCGTATCATTTTTAAAAATATAAATCCAAATAAATATTACAGTATTGAAGAGATTCCCCAAATTAGGAATGATTGATCTGCAGACTTTTTTTTTCTTGTTTTTGCCTATTTGCATCTTCCAAGTGTTACACAATTAACACGTATTTGGTAGTTCAGTTTCTAAGACTAATTCAAAAATAATGAAGCAATAACTCTAAGAGAAGTAAGGCAAAGGTGATTACTTAGTCTTCGTTTTCTTTAGCCCAGCCCTCATAGTGTCTCCCTCTACCACTCCCTCAATCTCCAACACCTTTGGAATAACAGTGACTTCTCAGCAGTCACTGCTTCTCTGAGTGGTGGCCATTGGTGACCGGGCTTCTCCTCCCATGGCAGTCAAATCTCTCTGCTCTTACATGAGCTTCAGAAACCACTGAGAAGTCAGTGCTTACCAGGCAGTAAATAAAGGTTATGACCAAAAAGAGAGTATACTCAAAAATGAGTTTCTGGTCTCTTGGAAATTTTCTTTTTTTTAACTTTTATTTAATAAATATAAATTTCCAAAGTACAGCTTTTGCATTACAGTGGCTTCCCCTCACCCGCCTCATAACCTCCCTCCCACCCGCAACCCTCCCAAATCCTGCTCCCTCTCCCTTCCCATTCACATCAACATAAATTTTCAATTATCTTTATATACAGAAGATCAATTCAGTATATAATAAGTAAAGATTTCAACAGTTTGCACCCACACAGAAACACAAAGTGTAAAGTACTGCTTGAGTACTAGTTATACTGCTAATTTTTCTACTGTTAAAATTTTCATTCCAGTGTGTGCAACAGCTTTTTGATTGCCCTCAAAATAACAAATGTTGAGTAACTGCAACATCGAAATCTTGGGCAAAGAAATATTAGGTCACAAATAGTCTATGAGTGATGATAGGAGGGAAACAAGGAGATTGTTGTGTCACAGAGGGCAGGAAAGAGTGCTTCTAGGAGATTGAAAGTGTCTGAGAATAGTAATAGTAAAAAACTCATAACATTTAAAAATTTCCACTGATTGAAAATGTAAAGTCTGTTACCTTTTTAAAGTCCATTTCCTTTTTTGCTGTATTCCTATGAATTTAAAATCCTTAATATTATCAAGTGCATGCTGAATTTCATGAAAACAAAAGATATGAAGTCCAGACAAACTGAGAAATGACACAATATAATCTATTTGGAATCTCTATATCTTTCTAGAATTTCTTATATTTATTAATATCAGATGTAAATTCTTCATTAAATGCCTTCTTTTATAAATTGATCATAAATTGAATCTTTCTTTGTATACATTTCTCTTAAATCACAGCTTCCAACAACTCAAATTGTCAATTTTCTACAATATAGATACTGTCCACTTTTATAATGAAATATAGCAGTGGGCTTAATTTAGTGGACTTATAACTAACTTATCTGACTGTGGAGGAAATATTTATAAAGATGGTTTATAAACAATCAGGTGTTTATATTCCCGTCTTCACTCAACAAGCACAGACCATCTGCTGTCTTCTAGTAACTATGCCAGATGTAGAAGATAAACAATGAGTAAACAAACTTGAGAAAAATACTATAAAGGATTTCAGCACACATACAATGAGAACATAACATGGAAACCCTGTAGTTTAGTCTGTGGATCAGAGGATCTACCTTGGGAAATCTACACTTGGACTGAGTCCTAAAAGAAGCAAAGGTTAAAAGTGTGTGATGAGCCAGAGTCACAGGAGGAAAATAGCAGTGAAAAAACAGACAGAAGGGATGCATATAATGAAGACATTAAAAGAACAGGAAGAAAAAAAGAAGAGCATGAAAAATAATGCCAATTGAAGTTCAAGTGAAACACAAAGGGACCACCAGATCATGCAGCTGTGAACTCACCATTAAAGATTTGGACTTAAGTCCTCAACTGTGGGAAATCATTCAAGGCTTTTTGCCCCAGAAACCTTTTCTTTAAGGTATACAAACTTCATGCATTTCATAAATACAAATTTAGGAACATAGTGATTCTTCCCACTCTACCTGCTCTCCCACCCACACTTCCACTCTTCTCCTATTCTCACTCTTATTGTTGACTAAGATCTATTTTCAACTAACTTTATATACATAAGAGTAACCCTATATTACATAAAGAGTTCAACAAATAGTATGACTTAAAAAACTGTTCATTTAAGGCTTTTAATCAAAGAGAGCATTATGATCAGATTTGGAGCTGTATTTTTTCAAAATTGTTGGTTACAGTGACCAACAAATTGAACAAGAACTAGAAAAGATGTGAGGAAATAAGAGGAAGGTATGGCATAGTCCAAGGCAGAGATGATGAAGGCCTGGACTAGATTAATGGCAAAGGATATGGAACAATAATGATGGATTTGAGAAATATCCAGACATTACAGTCAATAAGAGCTGGGATTTATTCATTGTTAATGATCTCAAGCATATTTTTGAGATTTCTGAGACCAAAATTTAGGTAGGTAACAGATCCACATATTGAATTAGCTAGAAGTGCAATAGAATTAGTAAAAAAAAAAAGCTAGAGAGGTTAGTATAAGGTATCTGGAGGCAGAGATGCCAATAAAAATCAATCAACAGCAGTTATGAATTACTAAGACTTATAAGACATCTAGGCTAGGCTGGAAAAAAGAGTTGTTGATAATATCAATGATCATTAAAGCTCAAAAAAGGATGAGGTCATGAGATCATCCAGGTAGTGTTTGGAGGAATAATGAGCACAGAATTAATATTTAAGAAACTGAACATTTAACATTTGAATCTCAGAAATGCCTGCATGGGAACAGCTGAGAAGAAAAAAAGAAAACTCAGACAGTGTCGTTTCACAGACAGAAGCAAAAGTGTTTTAGAAGTCATAAAGTGAAAAGCAGATGAGAAGTGAAATAAGATTACTGAAAAATGACTATTGGATAATGTGGAGGTAATTTTGAGGGTGCAGTGAGTCGGAACCCAAATTGGTGTAGGTTGAAAAATCAATGACAGAATTTCAAAAAACAGTTAATGAGATAGCTCTTTCCAGAAATGAAGCTATGAGGATGAACAACACATGTGAAACTAAAGAGATTTATTTCTGTTCCCTAGATCTTTTAAAACTTTCTATGAATAATAATGTTACATATTTATAGGATACAATGTAATACTTCAATGTATACATGCAATGCATACTGCTCAAAACATGATAATATTTTCCCTTCTTTGACATAATTTTATTATTAGAGGATTGAAGCTTCTTTCTTCAATCGTTCATATGGTATGTACTGGTTTATTATGAACTATAGTCTTCCCACTAAGCTTTGTAACACTAGAAACTTATTTCTTCAATCCAACTCTGGTTTGGTAGCCAAAGCTGAATTCCCTCTATCCTCTCTACCCTCCAAGCCTCTACCAGTTACTATTTTGTGTACAGATTGAATGTTTTAGCTGCCATATAGAAGGGAGAAACGTGCTATTTGTCTTTCTCTGCTTGGCTTATTTCACTTAACATTATGTCCTCTCATTTAGTCCACTTTGCTGCAAATGACAGTATTTCTTTTTAAGGATGAATTGCATACCATTGTGTATGTATACATACATATGATGTATACATGCATATGATGCATACATATGATAGATACCTTGATTGGTTCCATACATTGGTTATTGGAAATAGTGCTATAATAAACATGGTAGAGCAGGTGTCTCTTTGCTATGAGTTCATGTATTTTGTATATACACCCATGTAGTAGGATTGCTATATTGCATGCATGGCAGTTCCATTTCTAGTTTTTACAGAAATACCATACTCTTTCCAATGTGACTGTAGTAACATACATTATCATCAAAAATGTGTAAGAGTTCCCCCTTCTCCACATTCTCACTGGAAATTATTACTCTTTTTCATAACAGCCATTTTAACAGGGGTAAGGTGACACCTCATTGTAAACATTTTTTACACTTCCCTGAGAGCCAATGACAGTGAGCATTTTTTCTTACATATATCAGTCATTTGTGTTCCTTCTTTTGAAAATTGTCTATTCATGGCTTTTGCCCATTTTTTAATTGGATAGGTTATTTTATTTTGTTGAATTTATTGAGTTTCTGATATACTCTGAATATTGACCCTTGTCAGATAAGTAGCTCGCAAACAGTTTCTCCCATTTTATTGGATGTCGTTTCACTCTACTGATTGCTTCCTGTGCTGTGAAGAAGCATCTGAGCTTCATATAAACCAATTTGCCTAGGATGGCATTGGTATTTCGATAGGGATTGCATTGAATTTGTAGATAATTTTAGGTAGTATAAAAATGTTGATACTAATTTTTCCAGTCCATAAACAAGGAATATCTACTCATTAATTTTGTGTCAGCTTTATGATTTCTTTAATCAATGTTTTATAGCTTTCATTATGGTGCATGGTGCTCTTTCACTTTTTTAGTTAAATTTATTCCTAAATATTTATTTTTCTTTAGCTATTATTAATAGAGTTTCTTGTAATCTTCTTGTATCAAGATAATTATTGCTATATAAAATCTTACTTTTTGTGTGTTGTACAATGTGAATTAATGCTATAACTAGTACGCAAACAGTACTTTACACTTTGTGTTTCAGTGTGGGCGCAAACTGTTGAAATCTTTACTTAATTTATACTTATTTATCTTCTGTATATAAAGAGAATTGAACATGAATCTTTCCGTGAATGGAATAGGAGAGGGAGCAGGAGATGGGAGGGTTGCGGGTGGGAGGGAAGTTGTGGGGGGGGGGGGTGGGCACTGTAATCCAAAAGCTGTACTTTGGAAATTTGTATTTATTAAATAAAAGTTTAAAAAAAGATGAATTCATTTTATTTGAAACAGTTACACACAGATAGAGAGAGAGAGAGAGGGAGGGAGCGAGTAAAAGAGAGGGAGAGAGTTTTCATACACTGATTCACTCCCCGGATGACCACAATTGCCAGGGCTGAGCCAGGCCAAAACAGGGAGTTTCATGCAGGTCTCCCATGTGGGTGGCAAGTGCCCAAGCAGGTAGGCCATCTGCACTACTTTTCCCAGGCCATTAGTAGCTAACTGGATAGCAAGTGAAGCAACTGGGACACTAACCCATGCCTGTGTGGGATGCCTATGTTGCAGGCATCAGTTTTACCTGTTCTTCCACAATGCTGGCCACTGTTGATTGGTTTCTGAATGTTCAATCATCCTTACATGCCTGGAAAAAATTCTACTTGATCATGATATATGAATTTTTAATGTAGTTTTGGATTCAGTTTGCTATTTTATTGAGAATCTTTTCATTTATGTTAATCAAGGATACTGACCTGTAGTTTTCTTTGTGTGTTGTGTCTTTGGTTTTAGTATCAGAATAAAAAGAGTGGCCGGCACCGTGGCTCAACAGGCTAATCCTCTGCCTAGCAGCACCAGCACACCGGGTTCTAGTCCCAGTCGGGGCACCGGATTCTGTCCTGGTTGCCCCTCTTCCAGGCCAGCTCTCTGCTATGGCCCAGGAGTGCAGTGGAGGATGGCCCGAGTCCTTGGGCCCTGCGCCCCATGGGAGACCAGGAGAAGCACCTGGCTCCTGGCTTCGGATCAGCGTGGTGCGCGGGCCACAGTGACCATTGGAGGGTGAATCAACAGTAAAGGAAGACCTTTCTCTCTGTCTCTCTCTCTCTCTCACTGTCCACTCTGTCTGTCAAAAAAAAAAAAAAAAAAAAAAGAGTTTGCCAAGATTCCATCCTTTTCAATATTTTGAAATTGTTTGAGAACTATTGGAATTAGTTCCTCTGCAAAATTTTTGTAGCACTCAGTTTTAAAACTGCCATGTCCTAGAGTTTAATGGGAGACTTGGTTACTTACTGCTTCAATCTCATTACTTGTTCTTTGTCTGTTTATATTTCCTATATATTCTTGGTTTAATCTTGGGAGACTGGATGTATGTTGGAATTTATCCATTCCTTCAAGGTTTTCCAATTTGTTAGATTTAGTTGCTCATGGCAGTTTCTTACGAATTTGATATTTCTATGATATCAGTTGGGATGTCTTCTACATCATGTCTAATTTTTTTGCTTCTATTTTGTTAGTTATACTAAGATTTCTAAGAGTTTTTAATTTGTTAGATTATTTTATAAATTCTCTGATGCTTTCTGCCTACCTTATTGTTTACTTTTGTGTCTTGGTAGTTTCATGGTCATGATATGGTTGTATTTTCTTTCTCTTTTGTGCACCTGCTTTGTAAGGAATTTCATACTGTAATTATTTTTGTAAGGGTTATGATCTTTTTACTTCTAATGTATAACTTCCTTCAGGATTTCTTATAGGGCTGGTCTGGGGGTCATGAATTACCTCCGTTTTTGCTCCTCTGGGAGAAATATTATCCAATTTTCCTGGAGATAGCATTCTTGGTTGGAAGGGATTTCTTTTTCTCTTTTGAAAACTTGAATTTATCATCTCATTCTCTTCTAGCCAACAGGGTTTGTGGTGACAAGTCTGCTATCAATCAGGCTTATATGTAACTAAATATTTTTCTTTCATTGTCTTTATTTATTTATTTTTTGACAGGCAGAGTGGACAGTGAGAGAAAGAGACAGAGAGAAAGGTCTTCCTTTTGCCATTGGTTCACCCTCCAATGGTCGCCGCGGCCAGCGTGCTGCGGCCAACACCTCGTGCTGATCCGCAGCCAGGAGCCAGGTGCTTCTCCTGGTCTCCCATGGGGTGCAGGGCGCAAGCACTTGGGCCATCCTCCACTGCACTCCTGGGCCATAGCAGAGAGCTGGCCTGGAAGAGGGGCAACCGGGACAGAATCCAGCGCCCCCTGGGACTAGAACCCGGTGTGCTGGCGCTGCTAGGCGGAGGATTAGCCTGTTGAGCCTTGGCATTGGCCTCTTTCATGGTCTTTAGAATCTTCTCCTTGTCCTTAACTTTTAATGATTTGACTTGGAGAATATGTTTCTTGGTTAAGCCTTGAGATCCTTTGACATTCCTTTTTTTTTTTTTTTTTTTGATTATCCATTTCTCTTCTAAGACTTTGAAAATTTTTGGCTAATATTTTATTAAATAGATCCTCAAAGCCTTTTTCCTTCTCTTCTTCTTTAGGTATCCCTACAATATAAATATCTGTTCATTAAATGATATCCAACATATCTCACAGGAAGACCTTTCTCTCTGTCTCTCTCTCTCACTGTCCACTCTGCCTGACAAAAAAAAAAAAAGTTTATGGAGATACTAGTATGACTTTGAAGTGAATGTGTACTTCCAAAAGTGTGGATCTTCAGACTTCGTAAAATTGGGTGTCAGTCATACCCTGGTTTCTCACGGTATTGGCCACTTTTCTGGTGCTGTAGAACACAGAAAGATTTGTCCCTTTGTCTCTTCTGCCAAGTTTGAGTGATAGGGCTGTGGCACTACTAGATGTGACCCTGGAAATGTGTGATGTGGATGGGACTTTCCTCAGGTCCTTGGGGATGAGCCTAGGTAATTATGGGGCTTAAGACACCAGAAGCCCTAGTTCCATCACTGGAAGATGTTAGGAGGACCTCTCCCTGGTCCCATGAGGTAAAAACAGTTCATGCTAGGAACAGTGAGCTGACAGATGTGGACACAAAGCAGTGGAATGCAGGTATGGTGTTGCCTAGGTCTTACTCTGTGGGTTCAGGTGACTGAAATCATTACCATCTTCCATTTAAAATTCTCCAACATTTTACTCTTCCATGTTTTTATATTTATGTACAATTAAGTTACATCATTTATTTGTTTAGTTTCTGATTTGATCCAAAAGATTATAAATTACTTGTAATTAAGGACTGTGTATTACTCACACTATTATCCCTGGTGCCTACCACAACATTTAAAGGTAGTCAATCTAGTTTTGTATGAATGCATTTGTCACTTTCATGGTTATGTGCATTAACATGAATGTATTTTAAATGTACCTCAAAAAGATGTGGAAAATGGAATTACAAGACAAGTTAATTCTGATACAAAATAAATTTGAAATCCAATCACAGTATATTCATAACACATTTTTCAACAAACTTTTTGAAGACTCTTCATACATGAGTGTATGTATTTGTGTGTATGTATTCCTTACTAAAAATAGAATACTATTTTTTAAGATTTATTTATTTACTTGAAAGAGTTACACAGAGAGAGAAGAGGCGGCGGGGAGGGGGGCTTACATCCACTGGTTCACTCTCTAGTTGGCCACAACAGCCAGAGTTGCACTGATCTGAAGCCAGGAGCCAGGAGCTTCTTCCAGATCTCCCACGTGGGTACAGGGGCCCAAGGACTTCTGCCATCTTCTACTGCTTTCCCAGGCCACAGCAGAGAGCTGTATTGGAAGTGGAGCAACAGGGACCTGAACTGGCACCCATATGTGATGTGGGCACTGCAGGCAGCAGCTTTACCCACTGTGCTACAGAGCCCAGCCCAACTACTATTCTTAGTGCATCCTTCAAGTATTACGTTTTATTATTATATACTGCACAGTTTTGTCCCTAGTCACAACCCAATGTTTCATCAACATGTTTTCTCTCTCTTCCTTAGGAACAGAATGAAACTTGCAAAAACTGGCTGGCAGCAGAGGCTTCCCTGGAAAAGTACTACCTTTCCATCTTTTATGGGATTGAGTTGATTTTGGGAATCCTTGGAAATGCAATCGTTGTTTTTGGCTACCTCTTCTGTATGAAGAACTGGAACAGCAGTAACATCTATCTCTTTAATCTCTCCATCTCTGACTTGGCGTTTTTGTGCACCCTCCCCATGCTGATGAGAAGTTATGCCAATGATGACTGGATATACGGAAATGTGCTCTGTATAAGCAACCGATATGTGCTCCACGCCAACCTCTACACCAGCATTCTTTTCCTCACTTTCATCAGCATCGATAGATACTTGCTCATAAAGTATCCTTTCCGAGAACACCTTCTGCAAAAAAAGGAGCTTGCTATTTTAATCTCTTTGGCCATTTGGGTTTTAGTAACCTTAGAGTTATTGCCTATACTCCCTCTTATAAATCCTATCGTAACTGAAAATAACACCCACTGTAATGATTATGCAAGTTCTGGGGAACCTGAATACAACCTCGTTTACAGCATATGTCTGACCTTATTGGGGTTCCTCATTCCTCTGCTGGTGATGTGCTTCTTTTATTACAAGATTGTTCTCTTTCTAAAGCACTGGAGCAGGCAGCTCACCACCGCTTTGCCCCTTGAAAAGCCTCTCAACTTAGTCATCATGGCAGTGGTCATCTTCTCTGTGCTTTTCACGCCCTACCACATCATGAGGAATGTGCGGATTGCTTCACGCCTGGGGAACTGGAAGCAGCACCAGTGTACTCAGGTCGTTATCAACACCCTATACATCGTGACTCGGCCTTTGGCATTTCTGAACAGTGTCATCAACCCTGTCTTCTATTTCCTCATGGGAGATCATTTCAGGGAGATGTTGCTGAACAAATTTAGACAATACTTAAAATTTCTTACATCCTTTAGAAAATGAGCTTATGAACTTGAGTTTTCATTTAGAAAAAAAATTAAGTGCTTGTGAAGCCAATTGTTTTATGCATGCACCTATAAACCAGTTAAGAGTTTATTTTAACTTATAGACATAATTCAAAGAGTATCATGAATCTGACCCTGACTTAAAGACAAGTTATACCCAGAATATATGAAAAGAAGGGGATGATGAGAGGTTTCTTTACTTAACTAGGGAAAGGAGGTGAACTAGCACTGTCTAATGTTTGGGCATGTAAGTCCAAACCTAGGTGCTATAGGAACATCTTGATTAAGGAATAGGAGGTAGACAAAACAACAAATTATCTGTATTGAATCATTGATCAGATTGTTTAAAAAAAAAGCACAAATATTTTGGCACAACTCTCTGCATTATTGTTGTTCATGTAATCCAAAAACTTCATGTGAGAAGTGAAGAGAAGATTAGATGTACACTGTTAAATATTGATTTTAGAAGTTGTGTTCTAAAAAATTAAAAGTAACATGTTCTAAAAAATTAAAAGTAACATGTTATAAAATTTAAAGTAACATTAACAAAGAATAAGAAGGCTATATGGATAATGAGACCAAGATTGTCATGAATCAGGGCCAACTCTAATTTATCAGTCTGTTTATTGTTTATAATAAAATTAATCTTAATTTATGTTAAATAAAACCTAAAGAGATAATTTTCAAAAAGAGGAAATAGAAATATGTTTGAGCTTGGCTATTAAGACATTTAAGTGCAAATGATTTTATCAAAATACTAGAGAGATATAAGAACAGTTGCAAAAATTTCAGACTTATAGAACATCAAAATGCCTGTCAGGAAATACAAAGCAAAACAAAGCAGAATAAAAATGAATACATTATTTTTATGATGATTTTGCCATCTTGTATTTTATTATCACAATTTAACTGCTTTGCTGATATTGATTAAATGCTGAATTATAAAATATATTAATATCATAAAACCAGCAAAGAAGAGGAAGTAAAATGATAACATCCAAAGCATTAGGTTAGGTTTCTCTTTCTCAGGGAAGTATCGCAATTTTTCTGTACTCCTTTTTTGTAAGCCCTGAGATAACTCACAAGGATGACTTTATCTTGGCACGAGCGTCTCACATCTTGAGTAAGGCTTGCTTTCATAGGACATCATGTAAGATCATTGGAAAAAATGTTCTAGATAAAATGTACTTTATATTAGAAAACATAGGAATATCATATACAAATAATAGACATTTCCCTGATAGGTTAATTGGGCACCAATTCATGTCACAAAACAAATGTGGGGTGGGGTGTAGGGAATGGGTGCTGAATTTTAAAGTCAAACAAGTATCAAATAATAATTCACCAATGCAAAACAAGATATAATCATCGCCACAATCTGTATTCCTTTCCTTGGTGTCATTAGTTACAACGAGTAAGGAAAGAGAAGGAAAAAGCAATCATCATGAATGCAGACATACAATTCCATTGTACTTTCTGTTCTGAAATACCCTGGTGGTATTATATACTGCTATTCCAAAATCTCCAAGTTTTCCTGGTTAACATTTTAAAAATACAAACAGCTGACATATTATAAAAACATGTTACAGAGAATTTGTTTTCTTACCTAGTGCTAGGCTTTCAGATATTTTAGTCATTTACCTTTGTCAATAATGCTTTTAGATTCCAATGTAATGTTATAACCATGAAAGGAACTGAAAGAATTTCCGAATTTTTCTCATCAGAAAAGGTCACAGAAAGGGCACTAAGGAATAAGAATTTAGTTATTTCTGAAAAACTGGTAGCATATAATAACTTCAATTTTTGTTTTATGCATGAGTTTTAATTTGCAAAGGTGAAATTAAATTTTCTCTCTTCATCCACTTATCAAAAGCAGTGGCAGAGAGTTATTCATTCTAATAAGGCAGTGAAATGTTTTGTGAAACATAAACTCCTCCACATACCTTGTATTCAAAAAGTCAACAAATATGTACATATAACACATTTTCTAACGTTTATTTGGCTCTCAACTATCATGTGGCAGCTTAATCCTTAACAGATTAAAAATGTCTCCACTTTTAAAACTCTAAGAGCTATTCCATTTATATGAGGTAATTGTGAGAATCACTAACAATAAATTATGGAACTCCTTGCTAGTTTTGTGGTTTTCATAGGCATGAATGCCAGGCCTTTATAATTTGTCTTTTTTGGCCACTGGTGTCTAAACTATTCAGTCCAGCACTCTTCAATCTGGCCCCATCTCAATTTTTCTCACAGGTTATCTCCCGCCACTGGCATCGCAATCCATGCTCTACAACCAGATTGCTGCTCCATTTCATTATTCAGAATTTTCTTCACTTTATTCTAAGCATCTTTCAAGCTTCATCTCATCCTATTTGTCAATCATTGGTAAAACTTTCCCTTAGGTTCTCTTCTCCCCAAATCTAGAAATAAAACTCACTACCATGGAGTTTTCAGACTACTGTGAAGTGCTGTTTTGATGAAATGCATTATTTTTGTGTGTATATATATATATATATATATTATAAAAATATAGATTCCTGTCCATGCTAAGGTCTGTGAATTAAAACAATGACAAATTTTCATTGTCTTCAAAGCACCTAGCAAGATACTTTTTAAATTATGGTCTATTATGAGGGTTGTATTTTGTCCCAGGAAGGCAGTGAAAGCATACTATAATAAACATGCAGGATGAGAATTCAATGTTTAGACCACTTCAATTGAAAATATATGAATATACATATCCACTACGAAGATGATAACTGTCAGCCCTGCATAGTTTACTCTCACTTGTCTCTTTTTTTAAGGTTTATTTATTTATTTATTTTGAAAGAGTTATTGGAGTGGGGAGAGACAGAAAGAGAGAAAGAGAAAGATCTTCCATTCACTGGTTTACTCGCCAGATGGCCAAAATGATGGCCTGGGCTGGGCTGGGCTAGGTCAAAGTCAGTAGCCATAAGCTTCATCCAGGTCTCCCACATGTATGGCAGGGGCCCAAACACTCCACTGCTTCCAAAGTCTTCCACTGCTTTTCCCAGGCCATTAGCAGGGAACTGGATCAGAAGCAAAACAGCCAGGATGTGAACAGACTCCCATATGGGATGCTGGCACTGCAGGTGGTAGCTTTACACATTATACCACGGTGCCACCCTCCTAAGTTGTTTCTTGTACCCTTCTCTGTCAAGTGTCATCAGCATGTCACATATTCAGCCCACTCATGAGGGAAACAGGTGTTAATATAAGGATTGAATATGTCAGACATAAACAACCCACATATGGACATTTTTTAAAATGCATAACTATATGAATTCATATTTTTGTTTAGAAATGCATATAAAATAAAAATAAGCATAAACATTTTTCCCAAAACTGCCTACCATCACATGAAAGAGATTCTGCTTTAAGTCCCTATCCAGATATAGGAGAAGTCTCAGATTTCCTAGGTGTTCATCTCTGACTAGATTTATACATTCATGTTAGTGAGGAAATCCCACATTGCTTTTGGAATCAAGCCTCTTTCAACTCACGGCTTACCGGTAAAAAATCAGGTGCCTTGATCTCCATTATTTTGGATTCCTATGGGAATACTCAGTGTGTTTGCACCCTAGAGGGAAAAAAAAATATGATGGGTCAGGAATTGTGGAGAAAATTTCTTTCTAGAATCACAACAAAGAATTTCATGGAATGCTGTCAAGCAATTCGGAACTGTATTTTAACCCGCTCAACTCCCACCAAATCCTATGAAGTTTGCAGATGAAGAAACCAAGGCATAGAGACTTGCTCAAGGCCATGCAGACGTGAGAGAGCACACGTTCTTCACCACTGCTGGGTAGAGAACCATCACATGGAAGCTGATGCACATCAGAGTCATACTTTGACCCTATTTATGGATGATTGTTTCGTAATTTACCATGTGATTTCATCTCAGCGACCTCTTCTACAGAGTTCTTAGGAAAAGATCTCCAGGATGATGTAATAATTAGTTTTAGTGTGCTGTTGAGTCGCAGTAACATTGTGTTTCCCTGACAAGATATTGTGTTATTTTCTAATCATGAACTTTGTCATATGGCACTGAATCCATGAACGTTTTCACACCATGAAATGAACTCCAGAATATGTCACGTGTCAATGTAGAAATTTCTTTGAATAATGATCAGTGTACTTTTATAGGAAGTTGGCTTCTTTAGTAAAGCAACAATAAATCCTATAACACAGAAAACTGTGTACATTTTGTTTTAGTGAGAATCCCAGAGCCATCACAGTCAGATTTTGTCTAAATATTAATAGTATGGAAAATATTTAATTGAAAAATTTGCAGGTTGGTAACTTTCTACTGAAAATAAAAGAGTATTGAAATATAAAATTTTGTAGATTTATTAATGCTAGTTCTAATGTAATAATTTGACCTGATTCCTAAAGAAATCAGATTATTATAATTTCCATGCCACATTTCAATCTATTCAGATTAATACTTATATTAATGTATGCTTAAGTTCATATAAAGAAAAGAAATTAGGGGACCGAACTTGACATAGCAAGTGAAGCCACCGCCTGCAGTGCCGGCATCCCTTGTGAGCGCCAGTTCAAGTCCGACTGCTCCTTTTCTGATCCAGCTCTCTGCTATGGCCTGGGAAAGCAGTAGAAGATGGCCCAAGTCCTTGGGCCTCTGCACCCATGTGGGAGACCCGGAAGAAGCTCCTGGATCCTGATTTTGGATTGGTGCAGCTCCAGCTGTTGTGGCCAACTGGGGAGTGAACCAGCGGATGGAAGACCTCTCTCTCTCCGCCTCTCCTTCTTTCTGTGTGTAGCTCTGACTTTCATGTAAATAAATAAATATTTAAAAAAAAGGAAATCAGGCATGTGTTATACAAAATTAATAACTTTGTTATGATAACTCCTTAGACTTTCCAAAGGTTTGGGGATTTATTTGTATTGTTACCTTCAATTATGATGGGGAAGTAGGCTTCAAGAGACTTAGCAAAGAAATTCTCAAGGCAAGTGTCAAAGTAGTCATTGAAACACAGATTTGTCTTACTCCAAAGAAACAGGAATTCTCTATGATAATCTCTTTTGAAATAACACCCCCAAATCTAAACCACAAAATCATGAACAAGAAAGTCCCTTTTCCAGCCCCAGCTGCTGACAGCATTTGGAGAGTGAATGAGCTAACTGCAGATTTCTTTAGCACATTCACTCTTGCTCTGAAATAAATGTATAAAGAAGTACACATACATATATAATATGTATGTATGCATAATACATAAACATACACACACATGTGTGCATGTACACAAACACGCACACACAAGAAAGTTGTTCACAAGCCTTTGTGGACATTATGGAGTCTCATTTGTAACAGGAAAAGTTGATATGTGGAGAAAAAATTTTAATGCTTCCTTCCTGAAAATAGTTTCTTTATTTGAGATTTAACCTTTGAGAATACAGAAAGTTTAGGATCTGTGTAACAAATGATAATTTTAAAACTTTCCATCCAATGTGTACTAAGACACAACATTTATAAAAGTGCATATGGGACAGATGTTTGGCCTGGTAGTTTAGGCCTTGGCACTTCCGCATCCCATATTGGAGTGTTAGGATTCAAATCCATGCTCTGCTCCCAATTCTAGCATTTGGGGAGTGAACCAATAGATGAGAATATTCTCTCTCTTTCTCTCCCCTCAGTCATTCAAATACATGAAATACATAATAAAAACTGAAAAAAAAATTTTTAAAAGTAGTCATTCAAGTTTATTTGTAACAAGCTTTAAAATTATATAGGGTGAAAGGATGAGAGGATCCATTCTTTTTTTTAACTTTTATTTAGTAAATATAAATTTCCAAAGTACAGTTTATGGATTACAATGGCTTCCCCCCCCAATAATTTCCTTCCCACTCGCACCCCTTCCATCTCCTGCTCCCTCTCCCATTCCATTCACATCAAGATTCATTTTCAATTATCTTTATATACAGAAGATCGATTTAGTAAATATTAAGTAAAGCGTTCAACAGTTTGCACCCACACAGAAACACAAAGTGTAAAATACTGTTTGAGTACTAGTTATAGCATTACTTCACATTGGACAACACATTAAGGACAGAATCAGCCCTTAAGGCATTCGGATAAGGCTCGAGAGCCCATAAGAGTATTTTAGGCATGGAAAGCCAAGACACTCTGGAAAAAAAAAAAAAAAAAAAAAAAAAAAGAAGAAGACCTAAATGAAAGATCTCTGCAAGTGAGATCCCAGTGGAAAGAATGGGGCCATCAAAGGAGGAGGCACCTTTCTCTGAAGGAAGGAGAGAACTTCCACTTTGACTATGACCCTGTCGGAATAAGATCGAAGTCGGCAAACTCAAAAGGCTTCCATAGCCTTGGCAACTCAACCCTAGAGCCTAGGGAGATTACTGACGACATAAACAAGAGTGTCAAATTGTTAAGTCAACAACAGGAGTCACTGTGTACTTACTCCTCTTGTGGGAGAGGATCCATTCTAACAGCAGATGTTTGAAACAGCTGACATATAGGCTTGCATTGTACACACTCCTCTGAGGGTTTTTTTAACAAATCAAAATTACCTAATAAATATTCTGGTGTGTAAGAAAATGAAAATATTTTACAAGACTTATATGCGTACATTAAAAATGATTCCCTTAACCTTGGTATTTATTATGCCGGTGACCAGGATGAAGCACACGGGTGGAGCAGTGTGCAGTTTGCGTGCATGTAGGGCTTTCCTGGGGGGACTCATCACTGTCAAACAGATTCATGCAGGAAAACTCAGTCAAATCTTATCCATGGAAGGAGCCTTAGACACATAACACAGGCAATTCTGAGTGCAGCACTATGTGGGTCAGTGAGATTTTTACTGTTGTCATTCCAAGCACCGCCCCTCCTCCCCAGTACTGGTGTCTGAGTTGTGGCAGAAGAGTGCTACAAGCTATTTCAAGAACAGTTACTTCACAAAATACTTTCTACAGCATTGGGGTACAATCATCATAATTGTGTGAGAAACACCTCCCACATACAAACCCTCAAATACAGCCAAGTAACAAAGCAAAGGAAAGATTCTCTGACACCTACTCTTGGAACATCAAGCTGTTTTGAAACTTGAATGGGACACACCATTTTCACTGGCAATGGTGGTAGTTCCCATGAGAACTTGTAGCACCAAATCAAAGTGGAAGGAGTCATCAGGGGCAAGGTGTTTAGTCAGCACTCTCGTGTTCAACAGTCGGGAGAATGAAATGGAAAAGCACCTGCAACACAAGAATAGAAGGATGCATACACATATCTGTTCATGATTGTAAATGAGACCCATCCCAGGAGCCATAAATGCACACTGCAGCAGGATTTTAAAAGGCTGAGTAGCTGGAATATAGCTAAAAAAATAACATTAGATTTATATGATACCATTTCTGTACCCAAACTAGTAACTTGGGAAAGTATACTAAGTATTTTTAAAAAAAGTACATATTTGTACTTGATGTATTTTAAAAGAAAATAAGGCTCACTAAATCAATCATTTAGTTCCTATATCATGCTTGCTTATTCAACTTTGTCTACTGGGTCCAGTGCTGTGGCACAGAGCTTGGTTTTAGTCCCTACTGCTCTCCTTCTAATGCAACTCCTTTGCTAATGAACCTGGGAAAACAGCAGAAATGGCTCAAGTTCCTGGCCTCTGTCACCCACATGGGAGCTTGAATGGAATTGCAGGCTCCTTGCTTTAGAGTGAACCAGCCTCGCCCACTGCGAGGGAAATGAATCAGCAAATGGAAGATCAATCTCTCTCTCTCCCTTTCATATAATAAATAAGTAAATCTTTCAAAAGCAAATAAACTCTGTCGACATCAGGGAGCAGTGAGATATATGTAAACTATTGACACCTTGAGTCATAAAAACATTCCAAATTAAAATAATATGGGGTAAACAAGTAGAATTGAATAGCAGCTTTTCACTTTTATAACAAATCCATTAATTCAGCAAATACTCTTTGGCTGTCTTGTAGTTGCCAGAAAATTCGCTGTTGGTTAAGTGATGAATAACTGTTATATCCTACCTCCAGTCAGTATATAACCTTTGAGAAAAGCAAACATGAAAACAGACGTGCATGATATGTGAGGACAAATACAAACAGGTGCCTAAGTTACTAAACATACTTGGAAGAGGGGTCACAAATTTGGCTCACAATGTTAAGGAATCATTTAGAAGGGATGGTAATCCTACTGAGGGCTGTTGGTCTATAAGGAAAGCGACAGAGGGAGAAGCTGAGCTAGCAAGACAGGATTGGTAGGTGGACATTTGCAGAAAAACCCAATGAAAGAGCAGTTCTGTGTCAGTGTGCATTTTCACAGATGACAGTAGTGTATCACTGGTAATAGAGAAATGGTAGACATATGTGAGGCTGGTCAGCTTGCAATTAAGCACATGAGAGTTTTCCAAAAGTTCAAGGAAAAATGCAAATTGTGAGCAAACTATGCATGAACTTCAAAACTTTTTCACTGAAATAAATTGAATTTTTTTGAATTACTCTTGTACATGGAACCATTCATAAGCTCCAAAGACAACATTTTTTTTCCCAAGGGGATTTATCGGAAGACTTAAACAATGATAGAAAATAAAACTTGCTGAATGGTTAACAATCAATTTTACACATCTGTCCTGACCTCTTTCTTCAATAGTTCTCCAGCTCTGTCATACTCATTCCAGATGTCTCTTACAAAGGTGGGCATTCTTAACTCCATCTTCTTCACTCTCTTTTTCTACCAGAAAATTCCATTGTCACCCATTGATTTATGTCTTATCTCTGAATGTGAATTGATTCCTGAGCTGGGCACACAGGCTTTAACCCACTTTTCTGTACATCCATTTATAAAAATAAATTAAGGCATCCAAAGCTAAATTCACTATCTTTCTCAAGAAATCTCTACCTTTTGCACCCACTCTCAGAAACCAACATACTATTTCTTCTCTTCTCCCTCACAATTCTATCCTGTTGTTTGCCTGTTCCAGGGTATTCTACTTCTAATGTAGCTTTTAGATTCTTCAGTACCTCACCTTCTTTTACCTGAGCCATCCATTTTTTAACTAAATAAATATTTATTGCTTGCATATTTCTAATATACAAGGGGTCTTCAAAAGGTTAATGGAAAATATATACTCTGAAATAATTATACGTGGCCATCAAAGTTGTTTTCCACATAAATAAACTTACCTTTAGAAATTCTTTTTTTTACTATTTTATTTAACAGAGAGAGAGAGAGAGGTAGATAGAGGGAGAGTTTCCATCTGCCCACTGACTTTTCTTTTTTTTTTATTTTGACAGGCAGTAATACATGCTAATGACATAAAATGATTCTTTCACAGTGAAACTCTTTCAGTTCTATAATCAAAGACACATCTAGTATAGAAATTCATTGATCTTTTGCTTTTCCAGTGTATCAATATTTCAGAGTGCAACAAAAAATAAAATTCCCTTCCCTCATTACTTCCTACACTCTACATATTGAAACTGCTGCCAAACTTATAAAATCCTTTCATTCCCAAGTCATTCAATCACTTCACGTTTACATTTCATGGTCTGAGATTAGAGAGATTATTTAGCCCTTCATTTTATTCATCTAAATTTCAAGGTAACTTACTTCTCAGTTATCATGTAGTTTAAGTTCACATAATAGCTTTCCATGTTATTATGCGTGCTTCCACTTTAATGCTATGAGAAAGCTCAGCATACCTTCCCAGAATGTGATAAAGAAGAGTATGGCCTCTTCCTGCAAGGCTGCACTTCCTGGAAGAGCGGGGCAATGATGTTCTTAAAAAGCACCAGGGACAGGCTTCGGTGAAC